TTCAGGCTGCAGCCTCTGTCCCCCCCCCCCTCCACCCACTATGTTCTAGAAATAATCAGTGAGTTCCAGAATACAGAGAGAGGTAACAGAGCCACAGCCTGTGAAGCACTGCAGAGCCTCCTAACCAAATTTACGCCAGCTTCTCTGGCTATAGAAGAGCCAACTAAATTTGACTAACTATTAGGAGGTTACTACACATGCTTCCTGTCCTAGGGTGTCTCCACTCTAGATGAAAGAGAAACAGAGACACCTTTGGACAGCAGCATTGACAGTGGAGGGGAGGGGAGTATTAGATGTACTTGCAGATTGAAATATGTTTTATTAGCATTTGCAGCGTTTTTTTTTTTTTTTTTTTTTTTTTTTTTAGGATAAAGGTTTTACATAAATTAATAAAACCTGGTCATTGTAAGCACCCCTGTCAGTGTTAAATGGTTGTCTTATCCCTCTAGCTGATACTCTTTATGGACAGCTTGGACTGTTGAAGTTAAAAAATAACAGACTTATTGGCCAGATCACCAGGTGAAAATAAAGGAAACCCAAAGCTACAAATAAGAAAACTATGTCAACCACCACATCTAAGATGGTGGTAAGGTTCAATTTAATACATTTTTGTTTTTTGGGTTTAATACCACCTTAAGGTGACCTTACACTGCTTGAATTTTCAGTCTCAGTGAAATTGTTTACCAGGACAAACAGAATGAATTTCTACAGCAGGGACCAGCAATAAAAACCTGACAGGGGTTCTAACCCCTCACCACTCTATTTAATACTAAAATGAATTTTGCATTAATCTGCAGTATTAAATCAGATGAAACTGACAAACTACTGCATTTCCAAGTGTTTAATACGTTGTGACTGTTTCTTTTGAATAGCTAAAATTGGTTAGATTCCTATGAATGCATACACTTCATTGTACCATATTAGCAAAAGTCACAAAGCTTAATACCCCAGGATACAAGTATATGTCATTGGCTCTCATACTGATACTCCGTCTTCAGTGATGTGCCCATCACTGGCGTATAACAAATACACTGCATAGAAGTTTTTACTTCACTTGCTGCATAATTGTTCCATGCCAGTGACTCAGAAAGTGTTCAAATCATGATAGCCAGGCAAATACACTTTAATAGGGAGCTCAACAATGGCACCCTCTGCATTGACAAGTTCCTTTTAACAATGCCAGTAAGAGTTTTTGAAAAGTAATATGGTTACCAATTCAATGGGGTAGTGGGTATTGCCCTGGGGAACATGTACCAATGCCAATTAGGCCAGGAGCAGTGATTTTTTTAATGCTTAAAGTAGAATATTGAAAATGGCCAATTCCTTTAAAAACCATGCCTGAGCGGTCCTAATCCTGCATGCAAAAGGGGTGCATCTCTGTGATGTACCAAAACTGCTGCAGCAGCATTGCCATTTACAAAGGAAAAAAGTATTTAAAGTGGTAGTTAAGTGTAATTTTTTACTTGTACCTACAGGTAAACCTATAATAAGGCTTACCTGTATGTACTGTAAATATCTCCTAAACGTGCACCATTTAGGAGATATTTACCTGTGTAGAGCACCAGTGCATGCGCGTTGAATGAACAGCATGCCCGTGCTGTTCCCTCGGAGATGTGTACCGTAAAAAAATGACTCCCACGCACATGAGCAGGAGTGACGTCATCATGGCTTGGTCATTCAAGCTGCCGGAGCCCGCGAACCCAGAAAAAGGGCCGAGTTAGGATGGAAGCCCTGTCAGCAGTGATGGGCCCCACTGGAGGGCTTTGTTTTAAAGTAAGTTTCACACAATATACTTTTTCCCCCCTAGAGTTTACTACCACTTTAAAATTGTGGCAAATAACATTTTATTGCCAGTTTCTTCTTCTTATTATTTTTTTACTTTTAAAGCAGCACATAGACCCTTCCAGACCCTTCCAAAAATCTCACCCACCCACCGACTCACTGAAAAAAAAAAAATATGGCTTGACCCATAACACTGCACCTGAGGTTACCATACACTGAATGACAGCTCCCTGAGGGGTCATCAGCTATGTGTAAGAAGGGGTAAGGATAGTGGTGACTTCATTGCCCACAGTTGGCCAGTGGCCATATTAGGGCAGTGCTATCACTGCTATCCTCATCCCTTTGTTTATGAGGCAGAGATTCCTGGTGACACGAGTTGTTCCCCAGGAAGCAGCAAGAACATGCACCCACTGCTACCTTAGGAACCAGTGACAGTTAGAAGCTGTCATATATAGGAGCAATGGAAATATTGCTTCTATGTATGATGCTAAGCGCCAACCGAATAGGGGACGTTGCAGGCAGTCTTGTAGACATGTGCATGCCGGAAATTTTCATTTCAGATGCATTAGTTCATTGAAGATTTTGTTTTGTCATATTCGTTATGTTGAACCAATTCTTTTTTAGAATTTGTTTCATATGCTCCTAAGTCTAGGTGATTCATAAAAAAATGTTGATTTTTTTTTCTTGGAACATTGCTATATATTCAATATATTATGGAATCGGACAAATTCGAATGTGAAGGATTCAATTATTTTGGACACTAGCCCAGCCCACAAAGAGAAATGGCATGAGCTGATTGGATAATATGGATTGGTGTCATGTACATCCGAATTAACAAACAACGTAATTCAGATCCATTCATTATCAGAATCTGAATTTACTGAACAAATTTGAAAATTCAATTCATTTTCCCATGGGCCCGAACTACTATTGCATCATCTGACGTCATCCCAGTGAAGCATCCCAGTTTGTTATAACTTTATTTGGATTCACTGACATTCATTACTATGTCTTTTTGGAGATTCGTATGTATCCAAATCTCCGAAAATGAAATTTTTGTCTACAGCCTAGGTTTTAACTGAACTGTAGGCTCATCCCTACTGCCAACCTTACATTAAGATGCTAGCAAAGGAATCCACTCAGATGATATCTACTCAGTGGGGAAGAAGTTTGGACTTGCCGCTAACAGTGGTTTTGTGTTGAATCTCTGGGATTACGATTGTCAAACTTTTGGCCAATAAATTTGCAAGTTTGTCACTAGAACTAAGGAACAACTTTTAATGCTGTGCTTAACCTTCTACCTGGTTAGCTGAATCACAATAGCCAATAATTTAAAGGAATGGATAACGTGGGCCCCTTGTTATAAAAGGGTGGGCTCACAGCAGTCATATGCTAAGTGTGTGTTGGTGTTGGTAGCAGGGGCGGACTGACCATTGAGCACTGGAGCATTGCCCAAGGGCCCGGGGTCAGTAGGGGGCCCCATGAAATGCCCCTGGTACCTTTTTATAGGTTTTTTTGGGTGTGCTTTGAGTGTGGGCAAGGACACAGGGGCCCCATGATCCCCTATTGCCCGGGGGCCCCATGAGTTGTCAGTCCGCCCCTGGTTGGTAATGATAGCTGACAATTACATGTTGAGAGAGGTACTGTTTTTATTCATTTATTTAGTCATTGGTACTTGTCCCCCATGGCAGTTGTTGACTTTCCCGTATCCTTTGTGTTTACAATAGCTTGCCTTATTAGCCTTACAAATGGTCAGAATTGAATAACAATATGCAACCCCCCCCCCCCCAGACTTTGATGGGGTTTGCTGCAAGGTGTGCCAACTTCGAACTTGGAGCATGACTTAAAAAAATGTTTTTTATCCCTACTGTTCTGGTGGCCTCTATTACTATACAGCTGCTAATTATTTTTTGTAATCTCAAAGATCAAACCTGAAACACAATCGGACTGTGCGTGGCAGAACAAACTCAGGAATGTTAATTGCTTACAGTTCATTCAACACACACACATTATCATAAAAGATGTCCAAATCTTTGTCTATTTAGCCTGAAATTCACTGCAGTTATGGATTGTTGTGATCATTGGTACTTATGCAGTCCCTCTTCCTGATACCATTGTCAAAATAAATATTTTTGTCTCCCAAACAGATCCAGAATTGTTGGCACATAGTCAACGGATACATTGCATGCTCTGTAAGTACAAAATCTCAGTGGCTTTCTTTGTCGTCATATGGCTATGCATAGTGCTGGCCAGTAGATGGCGCTTCCAGAAGATATGAAAACCTTGTGCAGGCTGCTGTTTTATTTCCTATCAGCAACTGATAATAATAGAAGTAAACATTAGATTTCTTTGTACTAAGACGCTAGGAAGAAATGCAGAAATAAAATAAATGGTACCAAATTAATCTATGTTCATGTAAGCAAAAACAAGCCTTTGAAATGTATTAAAAATTAATGACATTAGTTTGTTTTCATAAGGGAAATTGACAACGCAAACCAGCTAGGTGACTAAAGAACATAAATGTATCAGGGGCTCAGTCACGCTTTTGCATTGAAAAAAATGTTATTGTATGTTTTTAGGTTGGTTCGTGTGCTTGGCAGTCCATACAAAATGAACTGGCTGCTTTACCACAAAACACTTTAACCACTTCCTACCCAGACCAATGTTCAGCTTTCAGCGCTCTCATACTTTTAATGACAATTGTGCGGTCATGCAACACTGTAACCAAACTAAATGTTTATAATTTTTTTTAGACAAATAGAGCTTTCTTTTGGTGGTATTTGATCACCACTGGGGTTTTTATTTTTTTGCTAAACAAACTAAAAGAGACCAAACATTTTTAAAAAAAAAAAGTTTTTCTTAGTTTCTGTTATAATGTTTTGTAAATAAGTAATTTTCTCCTTCACTGATGGGCACTGATAAGGCTACACTGATAGGTGGAAGTGATGGGCACTGTTAGGTGCCACTGATGGGCAGCACTGATGGGCATTGTTAGGCGGCACTGATGGGCAGCACTGATGGGCACTGTTAGGTGGCACTGACGGGCATCACTGATGGGCACTGTCAGGCGGCACTGATGGTCACTCTTAGGCAGCACTGATGGGCAGCACTGATGGGCACTGTTAGGCGGCACTGATGGTCACTCTTAGGTGGCACTGTTAGGTGGCACTGATGAGCACTGTTAGGTGGCACTGATGAGCACTGTTAGGTGGCAATGATGGGCACTGTTAGGCGGCACTGATGGGCATTGATAGGCAGCACTGATGGGCACTGTTAGGCGGCACTGATGGGTGGCACTGATAGGTGGCACTGATTAACTGATGGGCACTGATTGCCAGCACTGATAGCCAGCACAGATGGGCACTATTTTCCACTCTATCATAAAAGCAGAACAAGCGAGCGCACAGTAGGACATAAAGCAGCTGGCATGAAAGGATGAACCCCTATATCCTCAAACATATAATATACCATGAAATGCAGTGCTAAAAATAGAATAAAACCAAGGCACTAGTGCATAAATGAATAAAGTGACAATAGTGGCAGATACAAAATGAGGCACATTAAATTAAGCGCTAACGTGAACGATATTCCATAAGTGTCTCGCAATTTGGTAGCGAGAAAAGTGATAATAATAAATATTAAAGTGACAATGGTGAACAGTCCAACATGAAAAATAATACTTCAGGAAAAAATGGAAAAAACAGCTAAAATTGTCCAAATATTCTCCGTGATGAATTTGTGAAAGTGACTCCGTGCTAGGAAATGCTGTATGAATGCACTCACCAGAAGCGCATATTTAATGTGCATAATAATATATCCAGCTCTTCCACAGGTAGGGAAAACTTCCATCCGTATGATCATACTATGGAGACAGGAAAGAAACCCCACTGGCTTCTCACAGCATTACAGGGAAGACTTCAAACACCACCACTGGCCTCTAGCTGCATTACAGGGATGGCTCAGGGTCCCTCTCCACCATGGACAAAGCCAGACAAAATATATATTTCTTTGATACCGTGCATGCGCACTAAACGCATCAGGGAGGAGCCTGCCGTATGGAGGTCCAGCGGACATTTTTGTGAGTGTTTTCTGCCAGCTTCATGTTCATATACTTTGTTACCCATGTGGATGCTTTTTAATTCTATGCTATAATAAAACTACTACACTATTAGCACTCCTGTTGTGGCTCATTTGTGGGAGCTATTCTCCCGAAGGTGGAATATATCGTTTTGGCTGGTTTTGTCCATGGTGGAGAGGGATTTATGTCCAATAGTCATTCTGGGTGGCAGGGCGTTGAACGCTTGGAAGGGCGTGGCTACAAGGTCACACGCACACTGCATCACTTCCACTTGTACAGAAGACAACAACACTACGTATTGCTCAACGAATGTTTCTTTTCGATTGGTTAATGTGGGCCACGATTTCGACCAACGGACGAATGCCGATCAGTCGTCGGATGACCGATCGGTCGATTTTCTTACCGTGTATTCCTGCCATTAGCTCCTGATTTTTAAAGTGAGCAGATACAGTATTTGTATTGTAAAAAAAGAAACCTGAAGTTTCTCTTTAATGGCTGTATAATTTATTTTTCATTACATCATTTCTGCCTCCTTGTGATGTACTCTGTAAGCTCCAAAACCTCTCTTTTTCCTTCTCATTTTGCTTGTTTGAGACAAGCAGGGCATGTTAGTTGCAGTCTTGCGCACTGCATACAGTGGCTACAAACTCAGCCACCCTCTAAAATGAAGTCGGACCACAGCAGCAAACACAGGAATTTGGAGAGTTGGAGGAGGCTGAGAGCAATAGAAGGTACTTTTTAAATTAAGAATACACAGATGAATAGATTGTTTTAATTTAAACCAGGGTTTAATGTTGAAAACGTGCTGTTGCTCGAAATGAATCAGGGAGAAGCCAAAGCCAGTTCTATATACACTGTCTGAGCCACGAGGAGGGAGGCTGGCGGCCATCTTGGTTCTGGAGTACATTTCTTATGCCTTAAACCATAATTTCACTATGGTCCAGATGTGAGTCCACCTGTTTTCATCTACTATTTATGTTCATTTAATAAACCTACTACACTATTAGCACTTTCTTCTCTGGCTCATTTATTTTGAGCCACTAAGGTGGAGTGCTGACCAGTGGGTGCGTAGAGAATCTTCCCATTAATCCGGAGAGTGTCAGTGGAGAGGCTATATGCAGACCTGGTGCCAGTGATGTTCCATGCATCCAAGGATGATGATGACCAGCAGTGGTCCTGATCAGGGGCGGACTGACAACTCATGGGGCCCCCGGGCAATAGGGGATCATGGGGCCCCTGTGTCCTTGCCCAAACTCAAAAAAGCCTATGAAAAAGGTCCCAGGGGCATCTCATGGGGCCCCCTACTGACCCCAGGCCCTTGGGCAGTGCCTGAATTTCCAAATGGTCAGTCCGCACCTGGTCCTGATTACTCAAAATATAATTTGCACTATCTGGTTAGTGCAACTTACTCTCTTTTCCACGCACACCTGAGACACGGATTTGCACCTATAGAAGATTTATTGTGTCACTAATACACTTCTGGACTTTTTTACACGCATTTGCACTTTATTTTATGTTTCATGATTTATTGGACTAATCATTTTTATCATATATTTATATGCGTTTTCAATACGCCATTGAGTGATGCACCTATGTTTGTGTGGTGAAATTTAAGATTTTGTGAATTGGGGTTTAATGTCACTTTAAATCAACACACAACAGTGGCAAAGGATTAATGGGCACTCAAATATACAGAGGCTGACTTATCAATGTGTTAATTTAGGAAATAAAAATGTAGATTTAGATCTGAAAAGGTTTTTTTTTCAAAAGCCTGAAATGACAATGAAAGGCATATTTATACATTTGTCCAATGTGTCTGTGGAGCTTTACATTTGTCATGGCTACCCAGGAACTGGTTTGCCAGCTGTAAGAACCTGCTAATGGAACGCAATGCACAGTGCAAAAGCTTTGTTTGCTATCACATCATTCCATACCACCATGATGTAGTGGTGTTCTCTGAAAAAAATTACAGCGTGCAGTACTTTTTTTCAGCAAAGTGTGCCGCTGCTGTAGTATACCACACACCGTACTGCAGCCAATAACACTTAATGTAATTTCACTTTGTAACATTCCAATAAAGTTTGCAGAAAAATCAGTGCCTTGTGCGTCGGCACTGTTTCTCTCAGTTAGTGATGGTCCAAACACACCCCTGTTCGGTTCATGGTCGATATTCAAACCTAACGAATGTTCGACCCCGAACTTTGAACTTAATGCAAGTCTATGGGAAACAAACGTGTAACTTCAAAAGTGCCCATTTTGAAGGACTATATGCAAGTTATTGGCCATAAAAGGGGTATGGGGACTCAGGTACTGCCCTCAGGGACATGAATCAGTGAAAGAAAAATTTTAAAAAGTACCGTTTTTAAAGGGGGGCAGTCATTTTTCATCACAAAAAAAAAGAAAAATTCCTCTAACCACTTGCCTACTGTGCACTTATGCCCCCTTCATGCCCAGTCCAGTTTTCAGCTTTCAGCGCTGGCGCACTTTGAATGACAATTGCACGGTCATGCAACATTGTATCCATATGAGCTTTTTATAATTTTTTTCACACAAATAGTGCTTTCTTTTGGTAGTATTTAATCGCCACTGGGTTTTTTATTTTTTCACTACAAACAAAAAAGAGGGCAAAAAAAAAACGTTTTTCTTTGTTTCTATGATAAAATTTTGCAGGTAATTTTTCTCCTTCACTAATGTGCGTTGATGAGGCTGCACTGATGGGCATTGATGAGGTGGCACGGATAGGCAGCACTGATGGACCCTGATAGGCTGCACTGATGAAGTGGAACTGATGAGGCGGCACTTGTGGGCATTGATGAGGAGGCACTGATGATGCTGTACTGATATGCAGCAATGATGGTCACTGATAGGCAGCACTGATGGGCACTGATGGGCGACACTGCAGCAGGTTTATTAAAAAATTACATTTTTATAGAAAAAAAAAATCATGGGGTCTCCTCCCTAATCCTTACCAGACCATTTAGGTCTGGTAGAAAGGTTAGGAGGAACTCCACAGTATTTTGTTTTTTTTTTTAAGTGCATGGGGTTCCCCCTAAAATCCATACCAGGCCCTTTAGGCCTGGTAGGACTTTAACCAGGGAGCAAGCACAGGCAATGGATGCGGGGGGACATTTAGAAACATCCATCCGCATCGGCAGCACTCCTGTCTGGCGTTTTATTTACATGGGCTGGACGGGAGCGCTGCCAATGTGGGTGGATGTTTCTAAACATCACCCAGCATCCATTTCCTGTGCGCACTCCCTGGGAGCTGTACAGGACCTCTGTGTGAGGTCCCGATTCATGTGATCACTGATTGGCCAATCAGTGATCACATGAACAGTAGTAAAAAGGATGTCACTTCCTGACATCATTGCTTACTACTTTTGAAATCTGTGAATGATCACAGAGGTCACATGGTACAAGGCTATTCACAACAGCCTTGTACCATGTGACAAGCTGTGACCAATCACAGCTCTCACAGTATTTCTCAATGGCTGCAGGATTGCAGCCAGAGAGAATGAGAAATTACTGCTTTTACAGCCTTTATGGGTATTACATGCAATCAATAAAACAAGGATTGTACACAGAACAATATCGGACCTCTGAAAAGTATAAGCATGTATATGTACTCAGTACTTGGTTTGGGCCCCTTTTGCAGCAATTACTGCCTCAGTGCAGCTTGGCATGGAAGCTATCAGCCTGTGGCACTGCTAAGGGTGTTATGGGAGACCAGGATGCTTCCATAGCGGCCTTTATCTCTTCTGTATTGTTTGGTCTCATGTCTCTCATCTTTCTCTTTGCAATACCCCATAGATTCTCTATGGGGTTCAGGTCAGGCGAGTTTGCTGGCCAATCAAGCACAGTAATCCCACGGTCATTGAACCAGGTTTTGGTGCTTTTGGCAATGTGGGCGGGTGCCAAGTCCTGCTGGAAAATTAAGTCAGCATCCCCATAAAGCTTTTCTGCGGAAGGAAGCATGAAGTGCTCTAAAATCTCCTGGTAAACGGCTGCGTTGACCCTGGACTTAATGAAGCACAATGGACCAACACCAGCAGATGACATGGCTCCCCAAATCAACACAGACTGTGGAAACTTCACACTGGACTTCAAGCATCTTGCAGTGTGTGCCTCTCCATTCTTCCTCTATACTCTGGGTCCTTGGTTTCCAAATGAGATGCAAAAGTTGCTCTCATCAGAAAAGAGGACTTTGCACCACTGAGCAACAGACCAGGTCTGTTTTTCTTTAGCCCAGGTAAGATGCTTCTGACGTTGTTTATTGTTCAGGAGTGGCTTGAAAAGAGGAATACGACATTCGAAGCCCATGTCCAGGATCCGTCTGTGTGTGGTGGCTCTTGATGCACTGACTCCAACCTCAGTCCACTCCTTGTGAAAGTCCCCAACACTTTTGAATGGCCTTTTCCTGACAATCCTCTCCAGGCTACGGTCATCCCTGCTGCTTGTGCACCTTTTTTTTCCACACTTTCCCTTCCATATAACTTTCTATAAATGTGCTTTGATACAGCAGTTTGGGAACATCCAACTTCTTTTGCAATTACCTTTTGAGGCTTTCCCTCCTTATGGAGGGTGTCAATGATGGTTTTCTGCACAACTGTCAGGTTAGCAGTCTTTCCCATGATTGTGATTCCTACTGAACCAGACTGAGAGACCATTTAAAGGCTCAGGAACCCTTTGCAGGTGTTATGGCTTAATTAGCTGATTAGAGTGGGACACTTTGAGCCTAGAATATTGCACCTTTTCATAATATTCTAATTTTCTGAGATTGTGGATTTGGGGTTTTCATGAGCTGTAAGCCATAATCATCACAATTATGACAAATCACGGCTTGAACTATCTTGCTTTGCATATAATGAGTCTATCTCATATATTACTTTCACCTTTTAAGTTGCATTACTGAAATAAATGAACTTTTGCACGATATTCAAATTTTTCGAGTTTCACCTGTATAATGAACATATAGTGGATATGAATTGAAACCTAATATGTATTGTGCTACATTAATAAAACACAAAAATGTTGCAAAGACAGAAGTCACCTAGTTTATCCATAACTGCACAAAAAAGGGAGTAATAGGAACAGAGAGTCCCATAGAACCATGATATAATAATGATTGGCGAGTACACAGAACACAACAAAAAGAAAACACGTGCGTAATGGTAAATGGACATGAAATGCTTGAAGCCTGATTGCAACAATAATAGAAAAGTGTATTGACTCACATCATCTGTAGTGGTGATAATGCAAAGCATCCTGAATCACTGGGCTGTGGCAGATGGGCTGGAATAGGCAGATGGTCTTTAATTACCCACCCCCAGGAAACCAGTATATTTAAGAGAGGATACAGGCATGGTTATTGGCTCTGAGGAAGAGGCGAGACCTCGAAATGCATTAGCCAGTTGGAGGTCTAAGAATCCCATTACGGATTTCATCCAGTGAGATTGGACCTTGCTGTACTTTATTTGACATTTTATCTTTTGTGAGTATATTACCACTTCTTTTATACAATAAATAATTTTTTAGAAGGTAATGTACTAGGTCTGTGCACCCTCTGTTTCTTTGCATGCAGTGCATTTGTATTTCCCTTGTCCGTTGAGGGCAGCAAGGTGTGCATCTTCTAGGCATCCTACATGTGGTTCCAGCCATGGAGTCCATCTTCCATGTGCATATGCTACTGATGAATGAGCCCTAAATGAACTAGTCTGCTGCTGCTGCAAATCTTTTGTTACATAAAATAATATACTATACTAAATGGAAAGGACATAAACTTACATGTAAAAAAAAAAATCATCCAGGAAGACCGCATTGACCCTGCAAAGATTATTGTTTGAGTGCTGAAAGGGGGTTATAGACTTTCATCTCCATTCATAAACATATGGTTACATTGCCTAAATGTAATCGTAAATGATGAGGAAGCAGAAGTGTGAACATAGACGTGAAACTCCCAGTAATGGTTTATTTTGGGGTTACAAAAGATATTGGCCAATGCGTTAATTTTAAAGTTGATGAGGGTGTCACTGCTGCAACAAACTCCAATTCATACTTCTGTGTAGTGTCTGTAGGAGATTTTGAGGCTTTTTTTGTGTGTTTTTGAACATTCACAGGAGTGAAATGCAATGCAGGAGCTCCTTTGGAGCCGGATCGAGCGTTTCTGGATCCATGGGCTTTTGTTATGGGAGTGCATGAAAAACGCACATTTGTTCAGAATTTTACTCAATTCACCATTTTGAGGTTAAGGTTTATAGTTGGTAAGGTTGAAAAGGAACACCAGTCCATCCACTTTAACCTGTGTCAGTGTGTTTATGTAATTATGTCACTACCATTTCCCATTTCCCTGTATATTGTGATTGCTAAGGTGTCCATCTAAAAGTTTTTTAAAAATATCAACACTCCTTGAGGATGAGCCTTGGATGACTGAGCAGTTCCGTCTGCCCAGTCAGTATCTAGATAAATCCCCCATGATTATAACATTGCCCTGCTTCACTGCCATTTCTAATTGTGAGAGGAGGTCAGTCTCATCTTCCTCCTTTTGGTTGGGGGGCCTGTACCATACACTCACTATAAATTTCCCTTGTGGTTTTTCCCTTTGAAGCTCCAGCCACAAAGATTGCTTTAGAAGGATTGCCCCACAAGGATTGCCCCTTTGGTCCACTAGCAATGGCATCCCTCAGATTTATGAACAGATCATTTTTGACATATAGGCAACCCCCCCTCCCCTCTTTTACCTTCCTTGTCCCTCCAATACAAGGAGTACACCTAGACCAGAGGTGGGCAAACTGCAGCTCTCCAGCCCTTGCAGGACTACAAGTTCCATCATGCCTCTGCAAGTCATAGCTGTAACTGTCAGTTTTGTAATGTTGAAATGCCTCATGGGAAATGTAGTCCCACAACAGCTGGAGAGCCGCAGTTTGCCCACCCCTGACCTAGACAGTTGCAAGCCTGTTATGACAGTGAGCTGCCAAACCAGGTTTCTGATACTCCCATGAAGTCAAAATCCTCCTCATGTATCAGAAGTTCCAGTTCTTCCATTTTATTTTCCAAACTTCTGGCATTTGTGAACATACCTTTTAATTTTGTACAAGTGCTTATATTTTCTTCTTGTTTGATCTGGAGCCATAATAGGACTTTGCCAACATACAACATACATTTGGTTTTAGGTGCTTTAGTTAAACTACCGATGTTGCCCCCAGTAGCACCCTCTGACCTTCACTCACTGCCGACTAGAGCTTCCTATGACCCCCCCCCCCACACACACACATTTTAGTTTAAAAGATCATCCAAACTTTTGGCCATCTTCCCCCAACACATCTGCACCCTCCCCATTTAAGGCAAAGGAAAATCTGAAACTGAATGATCCTGCCAAGTAGCACTCAATTTGTAGCCTCCCTGGTGGTATTCCCAGTGTAGCTCGGGGTAAAGTTTCAGTACCACAAGCGGTAACCCCGAGCTACACTCGGGCTTACCATGCGGCGCTGCTCCGGGATCTGTTCTTCTCTTACCTTGTCCTGCGCTCCCCTGCGATGTCCCTCCTGCAGTGTCCCCTGTAATGTCCTCCCGCGGATGCCGGCATCTGTCATCTGGGTTCCGTCCCCTGTGAGTGTCGGGATGTACAGGGGAAGGATCGGCGGGAAATTTTAAATGACAAAAAGTGACATTCACTAAATTCACTAAAATAACATAGTAAAACTTTACTGTATTAAACCATTTCACATACATTTTGTCCCGAGTGCTTTGTCCTGTGCCCTGCCTGCATTTTTACTGTTCTTTCTGCCTGGAAACTGAGAAAGGTCCATGATGTCCAAAAAGTGTCCCTTTAGGTCAAAATCAGTTTTAGACCAGCTAGAGAACAGCGATAGTAAATCAGAACCACTTGCAGAATTGAGTGATACTGATTCGTGGGGAAATTCGTCATCAGACACTGAAAATGATTCTGCGACTCTGCTCAGTGATGTGCGAACTTGGCGCTATATTTCAAATTTCAGTGTTTTTGGTTTGATTATATTATTGAATTAAATGTTATTATTATTATATTATTATTTTTTATGATTATTTATTAAATTATAATTTAGGATTTCGTGTTGCAAATTTTAACATACCCGGGATGTTTACTAGACTCTTGTTCGGACAGATTTCAGTGAGTTATTCCTAAAATGTACAGGCCTACAATAAAAAAAAATACATATTTCCATGCAAAAAAAATGTACCGCTTTGAGCACAGAAATATGGACATAATCAGACCGCTAGGGAGGTTAATATAGAAAGGGGAAGGGAGCACTCCTCAAAAATGAACACCGAAAAATACTCACATAAATAATATGGATTTGGCTCAACACCTCAACCGTAGAAGAATTTTTAAATCATATTTTCAAAAATGAGACATTATGGACAAATATCTCTGTATTGACAGATATTATGATTATTATTATTATACAGTATTTATATAGCACCAACAGTTCACACAACGCTGTACATTACGATATCTTTGACTATCAATTAATTAATTAATTAATTAATTAAAAGCGAATACACATTGAACACATAAACACACTAATTAAAAGGTGTCAAGGGTCACATCTAAAGATCAATTAGATATCTTGTGTCAAAGTGATACATAGCTAAGATAATTATCATATCTTCATACTATACTATTGAATACCAATCAAAGCTGAAAGCTCTCAGAACAAAGGGACAGTCATAGAGGACAGATAGTGATAGACAGAGTGGCCACTAAGTTTTAGTAAATGCACAGCATGTCAGTCCCATAACCAGTTGACAAGAAAAGATTCCTAAATCTCCAGATTTGTTGGCATATCATGGGGAAAGGTGAATCAAGATAGTCCCAGTATATTTTGTACTTGAGGTGGTATCAGGTATGGTTCCAATTTGCAATCCTGTTGACAAACAATAATGGTAATATATAAGATATAGCCAGAAAAAATATCCAAACCAGAGGAGTATTAACCATGTGTGGTCCAGAGGAGGGAGAAAAGTATTATTATAAGGTTATTTGAAGGATATGCCTTTAGGTTAACATAAGGATATATGTTAACCCAAAGGCACCCTTGTGGGCATCAACCTCCCTTGCTCTAGTAACCGCTACTTTGTAGCCTGTGTATACTACGGTTTTATTGCCTGGTATTGATATTCTGTGCATATGCTGGCTCTAACACAAAAGATTAATCCTGGGTAAAATGGCAGTGCAAAAACTGAAGCCTTCTTCAGACAAACAATATATGTAAGCGGACAATGTCCCTTTTAGAAAATATATTGGATTGGTATACTTATCAGTCCAATCTTAAGCCCAGTATTGATCCAGACATGGCCGATGACTTGCCTGACCGGTCCCCTGATCCCTCCCGACTGCATCAGAGTCATGTATGACACAAACTAAAAAACCCTCTTATAGTCTTGAAGTTGGCTATCACAGATAAACTGCGCATGTGACATCATGATGTACACACATAACGACGTGCTGACGTCATGACACCACCACAGCACCTCCATCCTGAAAAAGAAGAATGAAGGGAAGGATGAAAACAAAGAGATGGAAAAACTACATAGTAATACTAAAAAAACATTGGAAAACCCAAATACCACAGAATAAATCTCCATAACCCAAAATTATACAAAGGAGACACATCATGGGGGCACTCATTAAGGTGTCCTTTTATGAAACAGAGATCAGCGGTGATCCTGAGGATCATTGCTGATCTCCGATCATTAGTGGTTTAGGAAACAGAGATGATCAGCAGAGAACATGTTCTCCGCTGATCCTCTCAGCACACAGATGACCAGTATATGAAGGAGCAATGTCAGCCCTTCACTGGCGATCTGTGTTCTCCCTCCAAATTCTCCAGCTCAGAGTTGGAGAATCAGAGGAACCGCAAACGAAGCAGCAGCGATAATTTACCACTACTTAGTAAATGGTTTTTGATCTCTTACTGTAATCTTGCGAGATTATAGTAAAATCAGCCGTTTTCCAGCGTTGAAAGCGTTTGTAGATCGCTTCTCCCTTCATTCGGAACTGATTTACACCGCTTCATAAAAAGGCATTCACAGGAGAACTGTGTTCTCCCGGAATGCCGGAGAACTGAGCAGTGGTCATTTACTGCTGCATGATAAAAGGACACCTTAATTTCTTTATAATTAGAAAAAAAACGCCTTCATGTAGTGCCAACGTTAAACCACAAGATGGCCCCAGAAAGGAACCACCCCTGATTTATCAAAATACATGATTATTATTATTATTATTATACAGTATTTATAAAGCGCCAATAGTTCACTCAGCGCTGTACATTACAAAGGGGGACAGAACATGTGACAGAACAATACCAATACAATGCAAAACATGAGGGATTGAGGGCCCTGCTCTTTCAAGCTTACAATCTAGGAGGGAGGGGATGGTGGCACAGGAGGAGAAAGCTGTGGGGGATGGAGTGGTGGGAAGAGTGGAGGAGGTCGGTCACGTTAGCAGGGGGTGGGGTAGGCTTCCCTGAAGAGATGATAAAGGTTTTACATAAATAAAAGCTGATCATTGTAAGCAGCCCTGTCCGTGTTAAATTGTTTTTCCCAACCCTGAAACTGCAGGAGAGCCTGTTCTTTTGAAAAACAACAGATTTACTGGCTAGATCACGAGATGGAAATAAAAAAAAAAGAAAGCCTAAAAAAGAAAAAAACAATCACGTGAAATAATTGGTAATCTGCAATATAATACATTTTTGCTTTTGGGTTTAATACTGATAAAAGCATATATTACACATAAAGTGTTTAAAAAATCATTATCAGCAATAAAGAACACTTTATTGCTCATACATAACCATTATTGTTTAGTCTGTAACCCATACACTACTGACACTTCCCAACAGTAACGTTGTTTGCGTCTACCAAATTCAAACCATCGCTGGGATAATCAAAGTATAAATCTAAAATTCTGAACTTGATTGATCACTGTAGGTAATGGCTGTTCAAAGTGCTAACATGAGGTTCCCTACAATATAGAAATTAGAGTTAGGGATTGCCATACACATTACAATCTGACCATACAATCTTTGTACAATCAGCTTCGGACTTACCAAAACTATTTAATATGAGCACTTACCTAATCTAGCAGTATATGAATAGTTACTTCTGTACTGCCACTTGTAAGATTTACTATCCTCAAACATGAACTAATCAAGCTGCTGCGAACACCTTAAGCCCTGGTTCACACTTATGTTGTTTTTCATGCATTTTAAACCGCAGTGATACGCATGACATGGAAAATAAAATGAATTCCTGTGAGGGTCATTCACATCTATGCAGTCCACATGCACTGTCTCTTGAAAAATGATCGTGTGCGTCTTTGGACGGGTGCGATCCATAGTTTTGAGTTCCATAGGGTTGAATGTAAATCGCATGTGAAATGCTTATGTGTTCCCATCACATGCGATTCAAGCTGTCTCTTGAAAAATGATCGTGTGCATCTTTGGACGGGTGCGATCCATAGATTTTGAATTCCATAGGGTTGAATGTAAATCGCATGTGAAATGCTTATGTGTTCCCATCACATGCGATTCAAGCTGAAAAGCCTGAATCGCACTTGAAAACGGAAGGAATTTGCACCGGTTCAGTGTGAACCTAACCTAAATGTGTTCCCATATCAAATCTTATGTAACTTTTAAAATCACCTGGTGTTGCGTTGCTCTATAAATGTAAACAACAGAACCACAAAAAAAACCCCTACAAATACACAATTGTGCCACAATTGTGCCACATTATTAAGTCATACAGGCTCAATACCACAGCTCCTCTTCTTCAAAACAATTATATTGAGACCAATAACCAAAAATAAATGAAATTTGTGATCAGGTAAACGCTACCACAAACAAATCCAGCCTCCAGCAACTCTAAAAAACAATGCACATGTAATGCAAAATGTGCACAATTGTGGAAATAAAAATTCTTTACAGTGTTTAGATGTTAAAAAAAAAATTCTTTACATTAAACATGAAGTTTCAATAGAATGACTAATACCACAACACCCTCGCTTCAAAGAAGCAATCCGGCACCAACATGCATATATAAATGAAGGCAAGCAATGCCACGACTCCAGCGCTCCAGGAGCTTTCAATGGCAAGCTGTAGAAATAGGAAGAGTTAACCCAACCACAGCACAATGCACCCAGCCTGCGTGGTTAGCAGGTAAAAGCACCCTCAGCTCGATTCATCCAAGCCATGCCCACAACATGTTTCGCCCCATCTCTGGGGCTTAATCATGGAGGTCTTTTAACATCAATATAAAATAAAAATAAAAACAGCACATATGTGAAAATAAACGTTCTTTGTATTCACCCACGACGACCACATAACCAGAGTAGTGCTGCGCCGCTCCAGTTCTCCACTGAAAAAAACACCAAACAACATGATGGTCCCCTAATCAAAACTGTATATATATATATATATATATATATATATATATATATATATATATATATATATATATATATATATGTATATATATAATATTAAGGACTTGATAAACCCAATATAACAAAGTCATTATCACAAAAAGTGGTTTAAAGGAATTGTAAAGGAAAATGAGGGGAGCAAAGGGGGCACCTTAATGCATCCCCCTCAACGCTCTATCTCTCTGCCAAATCCCAGCCCCATCTCCAAATCCAAACCCTTTCCATCAACATATACAACGAATATAAACACTTAAAATCCACAACCATATAAAGGTGTCTGTCAGATGATCAAATATACATAAATAAATCAATATTTGTCTATCCATGTTTGTATACAACCGTGTAATCTGTAAATACCGCTTTCGCGTGAGAAAGACAAAAAGAAAAGGAAATTAAAAAAGCTAAATTAAAAAAGAAATACTTCCTCACCCCCCCCTCCCCCCATGTCAGTTGGGCTAATCCTCCCCATTTAGGTGCAGTCCTTCCCTGCTATAGAGCCAATCACAGACATCAGCTCAGTTCTCCATGAACCCCAAACTCTCCTTCCTGCACCATTGTCTCAGCAACTCGTTAAGTTCCCTAAGCTCCTTTTGCCTCCCTTGTGTGGCTTGAAGTGCAGGCAGTATTTCTGAGAATACTTCCTTGGAGATCCTTTTCTTTAATATAGAACCTAAGTCCCTGAAATAATTTTTAAGACACTCCAGCTTCCCCTGACTTTGTCATTGGTGTCAATATGTACCATGATAGCTGGGTCCTCCTCAGCCCCACCCAACAATCTGTCCATGCAATCATTGATGTGCCAAACCTAGGCTCCTGGTAAACAACATACTGTTTGGTGATTCCAGTCTTTGTGACAGATTGCCCATCTGTCCTTCTAATAACTGAGTTCCTACCACCAGTGTCTGTCTTTCCTTTCCTGTAACCTTGGGCCCATCCTCACTGGAGGAGTTGATCGCTCTGGTCCAGCAACGCCACTCCTCGACTGATATTCCTAACATCATGCAACTAGACGTATTTATAGGGATATGTCAGCTCAGGAATGGCCAATCTAATGCTTTTTCCTCTACCCGTCATCCATCTACCCGCCTCTGGTGCCTGCACTTCTGTATCACAGGAGCTACAGGCATGTGAACACTCATATGTGAACAGGGACAATTTAAAACCAATCGGATTTGGCTTGTTGACTGTTTTGGAGCTTTGAGCTTCCGGCTACAAAACACTCAGGTGTAAATGCCAAATGTCAAACAGTTCCTCAATATGACATGAATTTGCAGGTCAGACAATGATGTCAATGCAATTGTCATCCCTGATAACTGCAGGCTCAGAATGCATACCCCAAATAATCTGCCATCGATAGATATCTTAAACAGAGGTGTCGCTGACATGTAAAAGTGTATAAATCACATACAGCAGCAAGCTGTAACTGCTAATGTGTCTTTTGACAGTGCAGTAAATCTTTGTCTGTTCCCATTTTCCTATTATAAAACAACTTTATCACATTGTCATAGTAACTAAGTAACTTAAATAAATTGCCATATAGTCTAACTAACTTGGCCTTTATTTACTTTTCAGAAATATTTGATATTGGAAGTCAGGGCAGTGAAGAAATAACTGTGTAAATAGTAAATGCTAGCTGGTTCCTGTCACATGCGAAAACTAGACCATGGTGTTGTTGAATATATTTCTGTCACTGAGTAGTCATCTGATTTCCAACTCGATAACAGAAAACAACATGGAGTTCGAATCTTTCAATGCAGCTCTGTTCCTGGACACTGAAATCAATAAATAGCAGCCCGTTCACTTAAAGGAGATCTATGGTCACAGTATACAGTTTTATTTTATAACATCAGCATTGTAATAGTAATTCAAACTACAATTAAGTGTAACACTCCAATATAAGCGTACTTGAAAAATTTCCTTCCTTATTGTGTGTTTTGCTTGTCTGTTGGCCACAGGGCCACCAATAGGGGGGCACCACCAGTCCTCCTGTAGGGGACCTGGGCACAAAGTGGGAAACAAAACAACAGGGGAAATTTGTTATTTTAGGTACTTATATCGCGCTGTCAATTTCACACAGGGATTTTTACATATATATATTGTACATTCACATCAGTCCCTAACCCTCAAGGGGCATATAATCTAAGGTCCCTAATTCACATTCATACATACACATACTAGGGCCAATTTAGACAGGATCCAATTAACCTACCAGCATGTCTTTGGAGTGTGGGAGGAAACCCACACAGGCACAGGGAGAACATGCAAACTCCAGGCAGGTGATGCCGTTGTTGGGATTCAAACCAACGGCCTTAGTACTGCCAGGTGGAAAAGCTAACCATTTAGCCAATGCGCTGCCCATGAATGAACAGGAGTTCTTGTTTCCTGTTCATTTGATTTCAGTGCAGCTGAGGCTACAGAGAAAGGAATTGAAGAATCTGTGTCCTCAATTCCTCTCTCTGTCTCAAAGGTGAGATGTCAGTGGTCTGTTTACACCCCTGATATTTCACCAAAGCCCCCCCCAACAGAGTTGTAAAAACAAATTGTAAAAAAAAAAATTTTTAAAGTGTAAAAAATAACAAATTGTAAAATAATTTTTTTTTTAATTTTAAAAATTATTATTTTTAAAAATTATTGAAAAAATTAAGGGCTCATTCACACGGGTTCTCTATCCCATACAGTAAGAATGAGTGCTTTGTGCAGCTGGAGCAGTCTTTTACTCTATGAGGATGCAGAGGCTGTAGGAACACAACCACAGGTCCTAATTTGATACAGTAGGTGTGCATGAGTGGCCCCAAATACACACTGTCAGTGTTTGGAGGCCATACACCTGTATCCTCACACCTGTCAAATTAGGACCTGTGGCTGAGTTGGTACATCTGTTGCATCCCCATAGTGTAATGCTGCCTGCACACAGCAATAGTCACATTTATAAAAACACTGATTCACAATGTACAGGCCACAGCGCCCACATGAATGAGCCCCAATGCCTCATTTACACACAGAACTTTATTTATTAACTCAATACAGTTTTTGTCTTTTAGATTTACCAGGAATTGTGTATGTTATGCTATGCTTGTGTCCCCAAATAAGGATTGTAGTGTATTTGTAGTGAAAATATAGTTTTTATACTTTCAGAAGGGAGCCCTGTAAGGTAGGCTGTATGGGGCCCTGTGATTTCTAACAGCAGCCCAGGCTGGCCATCTCTTTTACACAGCTTCCTGGATTCCCTGCATGCTCTGCAACCTCTCCGCTGCTGTGTACTTTCCATTTCCAAGGACTACATATCCCATGGTACCTTGCTCCCTGCCATCAGTGATTCCTGCACTGACTCCTGATACTCCTCTTCGCCAGGTGTCATGCCTCTTTGAGCACCTCTGAGGAAGAGACCACGATTAGTCTTGAAACGCATCAGTGCAACATTTGCATGACCGATCTTCCACTATTAATATTAGGTTACACATTCTTTGACAGTTACCGCCATAATCTATGTACTTCAACTTATGTTTTTTTTTAAGCTTGTATAAAATAAAATTTAGCATTATGTTTTAACTGCTGATTCATTAGTTTATTACCTTACAAACCTGTACCTTTACCACCTTCCGCCCGCCATATAGTACAATGACGGGCACAAGGTGGTTCTCTTGTTCTGATAGGACGTCATATGACGTCCTCCCATTCTCACCGTGCATGCACGGCTCAGGGAGCGCACAGCGCGGCGATCGGCGGTGCGCTGTGTCCCTCAGACACAGCGGATCACGTAAAGAGCCGAAGATTTTGGCTTGGTCATGTGATCAGCTGTGTCCAATCACAGATGATCACATGTAAACACGGAAATGTCGGTTATCGGCATTTCTCTCCTCTCAAGCTGTCACGCTGACAGCTCGAGAGGAGAGGAGAGCCGGTAATAATCGGCTTTCCACGGAGGGAACATGTACACTGATCATCAGGGCACTGATGATCAGTGTTCCCTGATGATCAGTGTGGCCCCAAAAGTGCCACCTGTCAGTGTTCATCAGTGCCAGCAGTCAGTGCTCATCAGTGCCACGTGCCAGTGCCCATCAGTGCCACATCAATGCCACATATCAGTGCCTACCAATGCACATCAATGCCACATATCAGTGCCCATCTGAGCTGCCTTTCAGTGTCACCCATCAGTGCCAGTCAGTACCACCTATCAATGCCAATCAGTGCCACCTATCAGGGCTGCCAATCAGTGCCACCTATCAGTGCCAGTCAGTGCCACCTATCAGTGCCAGTCAGTGCTGCCTATCAGTGCGCATCAGTGCCACCTATCAGTGCCTGCCAGTGCCACCTAACAGTGCCAGTCAGTGCTGCCTAACAGTGCCAGTCAGTGCCGCCTATCAGTGTCAGTTAGTGCCATGTATCAGTGCTGCCTTTCAGTGCCCATCAGTGATGCCTGTCAATGCCCATCAGTGCCACCTACCAGTGCCTCCTCATCAATGCCCATCAGTGCCACCTATCAGTGTCCATCAGTGCAGCCTATCAGTGCCCATCAGTGCAGCCTCATTAGCGCACATCAGTGAAGGAGAAAAATCACTTATTTACAACATTTTATAACAAAAACTAAGAAAAAACATTTTTTTTTTCTAAATTTTCAGTGGTTTTTGGTTTGTTTAAGAAAAAATAAAAAACCCAGAGGTGATTAAATACCACCAATATAAAGCTCTATCTGTCACAAAAAAATGATAAAAATTTCATATGGGTACAGTGTTGTTTGACCGCGCAATTGTCATTCAAAGTGCGACAGTGCTGAAAGCTGGAAATTGGCCTGGGCAGGAAGGGGGTATAAGTGCCCGGCAGGCTAGTGGTTAATGTATTTGCAACATGTTTGCAGTGTGTTTTTGTTCCGTGTGTGTGAGGTGCATTTTTTAAGCAATAGTTATGATTTGCTGGTTTCGTTTGGGGGTGCATTCATGTGCATTTACATGTAATTCAATACATTTATGTACACAAAAAAGCAGCATGCTGTACTTTTTTTTTAATGCACATGAAAGCATCGCAATGGTGTAATCTAGGCTTAGTGAAATACATTCACTTTTCTTGCATATGCATTTACAAGTGTGTTTGACTGCTTCAGGGTTTAAACAAGCCCTAATACAGCACCATTTTTTTCATGTAAACGGATCACTTTACATCACAGTATACAGTATGTAGCCAGTGGGCTCAGACTGTTTCAGTTCACATTTAAATGGTCTTAACAGACTGCTACAAACTGTATGCAGAGCCACAGTGTCTTCCCTATTGTCTGCATGCCTGCACCAAGTAAAAAGTCTTGCCATTCAGTGCATACGTTTACAAACAGGGAATTAGCCATCAGTCAGAATTGAGTGAATCTTCCTCCTCACAGGCATTTGCTAAGAAAAGTGATTATTTAAAGTGGTACTAAAACTAAAAGCATACATTTTTTATATTGCAGCTTACCATTTCTTAGGTGTGATGGCTGCATTCATTTTCTTTTTTTAGGCTTTCTTCTATTTTCATCTGGTGATCCAGTCAGTAACTCTGTTGTTTTTTAAAAGAACAAGATCTCTTGTGGATGAAAGAGTTATAGAGTTGAGACAAACCATTTGATACTTGAAGAGATGCTTACAATGATCAACTTTTATTAATTCATATTTATCCCAAAAAGAAGAAACCTGTTTGCTGTAACTCATTATAGTGTTAGCTGGAGTTTGGCTTCAATTTGATAGTGTATTTAGGGCAGAATTTCACCTAAAAGGGAAGTTCTGACTTTCTGCCTCCCTCCCCAGAACTTTTAGACACTTCTTTTTTTTTTTTGGCTGGTACCTGGTTTTGACAACAGGTGCACACTCTAACTTCCTTGTCCACATCATTCACAAAGCATTGCACATTTTACACATGCACAGTGGGAAGCCGGCTTTGAAGCCCTAAGAAGTCATAGCCTGCTTTCCACAGTAAACATGCCAATGCCAGGGGTCTGTAGACCAGAGACAACACTGGATCCCTGGGCAGGGATCCTTTTATTAACAGTCACTAGCTATGGTATTTGTAGCTGCTGACTTTACATTTTTTTTTGGGGGGGGGGACTGAAGATCCTATACATCTAACTGTCTCCTTCCCCCAGACTGACAATGCTGTTGTCCAAAGGTGCCCCCTGTGCTCCTTCATCCAGTGTGGCAGCACTCTAATGCAAGAGGTGTGTTATTGGCCAGATCACCAGGTAAAAACAGAGGGGGAAAAAGCCTAAAAAGAGAAAATTAATAAAGCCACCACATCTAATGATTGGTAAGCTGCAATATACAGTATTACATTTTTGGTTTTGCATTTAATACTGCTTTAGAAATGGGCTCTGAAGCAAATCCTAAAAGTCATCATTTTCTATGGGACTTGGAGTGCGTGCACACTGACAATTTGTTTTGTAGCAAACCCACACTATGTGACATCTGGGTTAAAGAATATAAACTGCACTTGTACCTCTGATGTATCACACCCAAAGAAACTGGAAAGGAGTTGCATTCTTACTGGCTCCATTACAAACAGAAGTCTTAGCATGCCTCCTTTATGTAATTAGCGTATATATCTAAACCTTAACTGGTTGACTTTTTGTTTGCTAGAAGACCATTTGTCATGAACAATTGTCATTTTTATTTTTTTATTTCTTTTAGAAGAAACCTTTTTCTCCTTTGCTGCATCTCAATGATGCTGATCTTCTTCAGCCTTTTTGCAGCTTCTTACTGTCTACATGTACTCACACTAGTGGCATCATGTCATTGCTCCAGGTGCGCGTCCCAATGGGGCCACAGCAAAACATGCCTGTGCAATGATGGTTGGCACAGCGACTTATAGGGGTTAGATAACTAGAGGCAAGTCATTTGTTCACTTTGTAAGGGCATTTATCCTTAGCTTAGAGAATTAGGTGAAGCACTGTTGTCTTCTATTATCCAGTCCTGTGCAGGTAGAAATACTGTAAGTCTTCGTAATGTGATTGGGTATTCTTTGCAAAGTGAATTTTCACCGCATTTTTTAAGTAAGGGAAAATTCTAGAGCAACATGAAAATGTCTTTGCAAAGTGGACAGTTTATTTGCCTTTATTATATCAGGTTATTCATCTCCACTAGAATCACATGTGAAAGTGTGACAATGCAGGAGAGCAATTGGGGGACTAGGATTAAGTGTTCTCACCTCCAATAGAAAGGACAATTATGGCATCCCTAGGTTTTATTTTAAATGCTAAGTTCGCCATTAAGAAAAAAATATTATGTACATATTTTTGCAGGAAAAAAGTGCAAGTATTGTTTTTCTCTACTGGGCATGCAGAGCATTGCAGCCATGATCAGTAGATTGTGGGCACAATGTAAGGTTTCTGCAGACACTACCTCCAGCTTGCCTGCCCATACCTCCATATAGGCAGACAGTTACAAAGCTGGAGGAAGTATCAATGAACTACGATGGCATTCAACAGCCACGCTGTTTTTGAAAAGCAATAACAGGTGTGGAGAGAGGATTCCTTTTCTCACTGTCATGGGGGGGCGGATAATCGGGGGTGTAGAATAAATATGGCTGTAAACTGTAACATGCTCCAAAAGGTGAACTTAATCTTTAATGAATGCTGAGATTTAAATGGTTAATTGAAAATAAATATGAAAATCACATTCCAAATCTGTTTTTGTTCTCCCCCTTCCTTTTTCCATAATTAATTCTAAACATAAATACCATATTAAGCCTTTTTTTATACTATCCCAACTCTGCTATAAGTGTCCTTCACCAGTGCCCCTTAGATTCAGTACTGCAGTCTGTGCCTGCACCCTTTCATGCTGTCATCACCCTTCTGTAGTCTTCTGGATTCTGATGGGACCCCACCATTGATCAGCCAATAGGAAGCATCCATGTCTCCCATCCAGTGATGTGTAAACCTGAAGAAGGATCCTCCTCCACTGTAGTAAGGATTTGCAACCCATCAAATGATAACCTATTTATGGAAATGTTATGGGCATATAGATCATTAATTAGTTGAGGGTGAGTAGAGATAAGCCTAGAACAGGGGTGCTCAACCTGTGGCCTGCAGAACCCTCTGATGTGGCCCTTGATTTCAAACCAGGGAAGTACATACCCGGGGTCGGCGACCCTTTGATCATGATCTGAGCTTGCCGACCCCCCATCCCAGAGCATTAGAGCGCATTGAGCCGACACCAGCAGCGGAGGAAGCAGGTGGCCAAGGAGAGGGCAGAAGCCTCATAAGCTGGTGCTTCGTTTGTAGGGCTGATTGTTGTCCCAAGAGGTGATATACCCTGCGGGTTAGCTGCACTGAGCCATAGACTTCTATTATATCCTGCGGGTTTGGTGCCCTTTCTGAAACGGCACCGCACCCGCATGATATAAAAGAAGTCTATGGCAAAGTGCAGCTAACCTGCAAGAAAGCAGCGGGTGCACTGCTCTGCGGGTAAACCGCAGTGCATCAGTGTGAAAGCAGCCTTATAGACAGTAGTAGTTATTTATTTATTTCAGGTACTTATATAGTGCCGTCAATTTACACAGCACTTTACATACATATATTGTACATTCCCATCAGTCCCTAACCCTCAAGGGGTGTACAATCTAAAGTCCCTAACTCACATTTATACATACACATACTAGGGCCAATTTAGACAGGAGAAAATTAACCTACCAGCATGTCTTTGGAGTGTGGGAGGAAATCGGAGTACCTGGAGGAAACCCACACAGTCACAGGGAGAACATGCAAACTCCAGGCAGGTGGTGCCGTGACTGGGATTTGAACCAATGACCCTAGTACTGCCATTCAGAAGTGCTAACCATTTAGCCACTGTGCTGCACACAGTTGTTTTTTTGAGTAGTAGTAATTGTTTTTACCATACCTCCCCCCCAACCACTGGTGTAGTGTCAGGGGTTGCATTGATGACCCTGCCCCATGCTCCAGGGGGCTTTTGTGGCACATTCTATTTTACACTTGGACAAGAGGGGCGGCATATACAGGAACTATTCCTCTTAATTTTCCTCCTGCAACCAGTGAAAGCCGGCTTCTCCTCCTCTCCCTCCCTCCTGCACTCAGTGGCTGCAGGATGAAAATGTTCATTATGCTCTTCAAAATAAAAAAAAATGTAATTCTGAACCATTGTATTTCATTGTGGCCTACAGCCAGTTACCAACTCACCTAAGTGATCCTCACTCTTCAAAAGGTTGAGCATCCCTGTCCTAGAGTGTAGCTTTTTTTTTTTTTAACTTCCTTTATTTATAAAGACCACAATACAAAAAAATTCAAGTACCATACATAGGACTAAATTATATAAATGCAGATTGCACATAGCTAAACAGAGCATAAAAGAGTCAACACACAAACACAATATGTATAGTTGTTTTGCATATCAAAAGTTTGTAATATACAGTATAAAACAGTCAAACTGTAGAGATAAGTAGCAAGAATTACCTACGTAAGCAGGTAAGTGTGTGATTATGTGTGGCTATGGTGCTTTGGGAACTTACTGAAA